AAGCTCTCTTTCCAACATGATGATAAATATGAAATCTAAACATCCAGCTGGTGTTTTTATCAGAAGACTTATTCTCATTTAATTATTTTGTTATTAGTAGTATAAATAGACAGTTGTTTTAAGGAAGAAGCAGCTCATTAAGCCTGCATTTAATTTAAAAACAAAACAAACAAAACAAAGGCAGATTTTTTTGTGTTTCTTGTTGCGCTCAGCTGTGATTTTTGTCCCATTAGACTCCGTAGTGTGCGAGCGAGTGGACGATCCGAACACGGCTGAAGTCAGTAACTGGATAATGAACCTCAGAGCCGCCTCCCTAACCGCCGTCTCGTCTTTCCTCCAGAACTCAAAGACTCACCGGGCTTTTGCACAGACATCAGCGCTTGCACACAGGCTTCAGGCAACTCTTCATTTCAACCCTTTGTTTTCAGAGCCTGTCGAATGGATGTAAAAGATGTTGTTTTGTTTATTTTTTTTTAAAATTTCATTTCCTTTTACTTTTCCCTCAAAACAGAGCTGCCTCATTATTTTTACCAATCGGGAAACGTTTTCGCACCAAATGTCGGACCGGACTAACGAAGCGAGTGTCAGAGCCGTTCCGAACCCGTCGTCCTCGGAGACGCTTTTCATCGCCCCGGCACCGCAGTCGGGTCGGTTTTTTAACGTCGCTGTGGTGCACCTCCACCAGCCGCCGCTGGCCTGTCCACTCACACTGCTGTTGTCACTTAAGTGCCTTACTTCCTCCCACGTGCACTCATCCATTCATAGCCCGCAGCGAGTACGAGCACAAAACGACAACCCGAGTCTACTCCGACATCCGTTATGCAAAAAGGGAAAGAGAGACCACACACACACACACACACACACACACACCACAGCGCAAACTTCTCCCGAAACCATCGTGAATGTGAACGTTTATTTTTTTTAAAATGTGAACGTTGCAATAAAAAAAGGGCAGCTTTATTTAAATACTGCGTGACTGTTTTTTTTCCCCCCTTTTCGTTCTGAATAACACACGAGACGACACAAGCCCCCTCTCCCCCCGATTAGTTACGGCTCTTTTTACGTTAAAACAAAAACATGAATTCCTCTTTGGGCTGGTGAACGCTGTAAATCTACGAGCCGCTGCAGCCGGCGCATGAAAACTCAAGTTTCCTCTCGATGCATTGGCGACTTGGTTCGGGACGGCGGAGATGAAAAGCGAGTCGGTCCGTCGTTTGGTGCGAAACAGCTCTTTTCCTGTCGTTTTTCTTTCCCCCCACATGCTCAGATTTTTGTGGAACAACTTTAAGCCCTGACAAATTGAAGTGGGTGAATGTATTAGTTGCCAAACTCGGACGGCTGCTGCTGCTGCTGCTGCTGCATCCGAGGCTGACTTCCAGGCTTCGCTCGTGTGACGCTGAATACTGGATGTGAAACGGCTTCACGGACCACGAAGCCTGCTGACGAAAGGACCACGTTTCAATCTTTGTGCAGCAGCAGCAGCAGCAGCAGCAGTAGGATGTTTTTCTTTCCCGGCACAGCTAATGTTTTATAATTCTATAAAAACAAACCAATGTGAGGATCATCCTTTGTGAGGGGTCGACTCTGTTTTTTGAAAGCAAAATTGTAGCATCTTTAAACAGGCAGCTGAGATTTTTATTTTTATTTTTTTTGTCCTCCCCTACAGAGCGTCACTAACGATTTAAAAAAAACAAACAAAAAGACATAAAAAAGAAAGTATTTTTGCTTTTTAAGATTTTTTTTGTCGCTTAAAGCAGTTTGGATTCGGGGGGGCACTGAGAGGCTTTAGCACTGGGTAACTTCTGGAGGTTTGTTTTTATTTTGGTTGAGTTTTGAGGAAGTTTTTTTTATTTTTTTTTTATCTTAATCTTCTCTCTGGCACCTAAAGCACCAATAAATGAGTTAAAGTTCCTCTGAAGAGCGCAGCGAACGGCTCGTTTTAGGTGCCAGAGAGCGGAGTGGAGTCGAAGCGGAGAGTTTGTGGAAAGCGTTGAAGCACTGTGATCTCCTCGAAGCCGTTTCCGTGTTTTGTGTGACGGATGATCAAAGTGCTGTGATTTGTCTTCAGCAGCTCGATCCGTGTTTTTCTTTTTATTTCCACTAGGGCAATCTTTATACGAGGTGTTTACGAATCCCGTTTGAGGAAACACAGTTGTAAATGATTCACACCAGTCGTTTACAATTACAACGAGAGAAAAAAGAAAAAAGACAAAAAAAGAAAACGCTTTGCTTCATGGACGGAGGAGTTTTTGTTTCAACCCCCTATTTTTTTATTTTTTTTTTCCCTTGAAATAGATTTTTCAGGATTTACATTTGAAGCAAAACCAAAAAAGTGGAATGTGGAGTGAGTGAGTGGATGTTGGGGTGTTTGTGTGAGTGAGTGAAGCAGGCGTGTGATGAAATGTGAGTTTAGTTGTTTACGTGAAGCTTCAACTGGGAAAATCAGTCGAACCGACGTCGTGAGGCTGAACGCGTGAACGAGTCGATCCTTCGTTTGTGTTTGTTTTTCGTTCGTGTCGTCTTTAAGTGTCAGTGCACATGTTGTCAGGGATGCGATTGTTTTCTTCTTTTTCCATCTTCTTCCTCCCAGAGTTCACGTCTGTGGACGAACATTTCATTCTGAATGAGAAACTTTCCATTTTTCTCTCCTTTGTCGTCCCATCTTTGTTTTTGTGTTGCTGATCGCGTCCCTGACTGTCGCTACGTCGTCTCCTTTGGGACCCGAAAAGCAGAAATTATGAACATCAGTCGCTGAATTTTTCAAGTTTTAGTGAAAAAGAAGGTGGATTTTTTTTCCCCACATGTTCAAAGAAATATCGATCAGACTTTTATTTGCCAAAAAATGTTTCCTCAAAAAGATATTTTCAGAGATCCGACCGGATGTTCAATCCTGATCAATCCAATCAGCTTCAGTGTCACATTTTGAGAACTTTAACTGATTTCAGAGCCACAAAAATACTTTTCTAGTTGGAAAAAAAGTACAATTTGGACGTCATAGATCCAACCTTATATTTTATTTGTTGCATTTACATCTTACACACCATAGTTAATTCTTAAATACATTAAATTTGCTTCAGTGGGGCATTTTTAGATCTATCCATCTGATTTCAGAGCCTCAAAAATGCATTTTTTAGTTGGTTAAAGTCATCATTCAATAAACCATATGCTATGTTTCTAATTTTGAAACTTTACACACAAAAGTTAATTCCTAAATATAATAAATTAGCTTCAGCGAGGCGTTTTTAGATCTTATCTAACTGATTTAGGAGCCTCAAAAATGCATTTTTTGTTGTTATTTTGACACTTTACACACCAAAATTAATCCCTGCATTAATTAAATGAGCTTCAGAGGGTTGTTTTGACATCTACAGCTGATTTTACAGCCACAAATATGCATTTTTAGTTGGTTAAACTCAGAATTTACCCGTCGTAGCTTGAACCATACGTGTTTCCTTTTTACACACCAAACTGTTTGGCTAAATGAGTTTCAGAGGGTCGCATGGCCACCTTGAGCGGATTTCAGAGCCACAAAAATGCATTTTTAGTTGGAAAAACAGTAAAATTTTCCTGTCATAGATCCAACCTTATATTTTATTTGTTACATTTACATCTTACACACCGTAGTTAATTCTTGAATACATTAAATTCGCTTCAGTGGGGCATTTTTAGATCTAACTGATTTCAGAGCCTCAAAAATGCATTTGTAGTTGGATAAACTCAGAATTTTCATGTCATAGATCCAACCGTGTGTGTTACTTTGACATTTTACACATCACAGTTAATTCCTACATTAACTAAATTAGCTTCAGTGGGTTGTGTAGAGTTCTATGACTGATTTTAGAGCCACAAAAATGCATTTTTAGTCGGCGAAACCCGTCAGTCGTCACAGAGGAGGTGATGTTGAACGTCTGTATGATTGTCTTGAATGTTATTTTTGTCATCTGTTGTTTGTGCGTCTTTTGTCTGCGCTCTGACCCGGAGCGCTGATGGGGGTGGGCGGGATATTTGTTTAAAAAAAAAAATTCAAAAAGAAAACGAGAAGACGGGTGAGGATTCGGGTACAGAAACGGGATTGCTGCCTGAGATTCTACAAATTCCTAAATAGGTGGAAATCAGAACCCCCCCACACCAGGTTAACACCTAAACTAGTATTAATTCAATTGGATCCGTCAGTTTTGCCGCTCTAACGTGGACTCACCCGCGCTGCTGGAGGCTTCTGCCAAGTTTAACGAGAACGCAGTCAGCCGAGGGTAAAGCTACGGCAGTGTTTCCCTGATTAAATTGGATTTTTAATTGGCTCCAAAAGAATTTCTGTTTGAAAGTAGCTAAAGATAAAAAGTCGTGTTTTCTCGACAACATGGATAGAAGTGGTTCCATTCTGAAACAATGTCGGTTAATTGGTCCCTTTTCAAAAGAGCTTTCTGGTGAATTTGACTTGTTTTTTCCTCCCAAAACATTTTTAAGTGTCCGACTTCACCTTGGACTTGAATTAATCCAAATCGTGAGTCTGATCATCTTCCTCCCACCGTCTCAAGAATTTTCCTTTTGATGCCATTAGACTCAAAACCGATGATTCTGATTGGGTATTACGGCTGCAAAACATGTCATTCTTGAATTGTTTTAATGCTTTTTGTTTATTTGGTTTCTCTACAAAATGCATTAAAGAGGCACACGGTGTTCCAGCAGCTCGTGTTCATCACTCTGTCCTCTACTGTTGTAATGTGGAAACACATGCAGGGCTACGAAATTCAATAAATTGACCTGAACTTTACTGTCTGTCGTCGGCTGTTTTTATTTCTCTGATCCATTCAGCATTTACAGGGTTTGATTAGAGGTCTGCAGTGAGCTGAACAAACTGAGACGATAGTTTGAATGGACTGTAGATGTTTCTGTTTTACGATAAAACTGCAGAAGAACAAGAACAAACAATGAAAGTAACAGCACATATTTGTAAAATGATCATTTTTAGCCCAATGAAACAGTAAAATGGTGTAAAAATATAAATTATTTACTGTTTTTGATCAGTTTATTTATTTATTTTTTTTTACCGTCAACGTGTAAATTATTACATTTTGTCTGATTTACTAGATATTTTCTGCAATTTAACAACACTGGGAAAATCTGTCAATGAACTGCCTAATTTAAATATTAGAGCTAAGATCTCATAATATTCTTATAGGAAATTAACGGATTTTAAATATTATGGTTTAGTCCCTATAATGGATAATACAAGTTTACCTTATTCTAATATAATTATAAAAAATGTAATAATATATACAATACATTAATACATACATACACAATAATGTAGATATAATGTACATTTCCATGATTGATTAGCATATTAAAAAGACTACTATATATATATATTTAAATTAGCCTGACACACCTAAATATAAAGGTTAATATTCAACATTATATAAAGTAAAAATCTAAAATTTTAATATCAATGTTATTGACTATTCAAACTGCCTGATTAATTTATATGATAAATTAAAGATCCAACCCTACTGGAAAACCCATATATATTTTTATATATAATAATTTTGTATGATCTTATTATTATATAATAACTGATATATAAGTTATACCTTTAGATATTTGTACTACACGTGTGTAACGGTAGTGTGTGTTTTGTCGCTGTTGCATACCAGCGACACGTTAATAAACTCTATTTGTGCTGTTTTGTGTGTTTCCTCCCTCCGGCTGCCGTTTGACCTTCATGCTATTTCTTGTTCCGTGTGACTCCGCCCTCCGAAGTGCAACCAACCGAAGGCAAATGTCTCCTCCAATCAGTGGCCTCAGAGCCCTACGTCCTGCCCCTTTTCTGCCGACCTCGCTTAGATCAGCCAATACCGCTTAAGTATTCTCCTTACGTCATCAGTGCAAAAACACGCCCTCGATTTTTTGCACACTTACCATGACTGACAGGTGACTTCACCAATCCCTTCTGAGGGCCGTGATGTGTCATCCAATCATAACAGGCGTTGGGACAAATAGGCGGGCCTTAGCGTCACTCTTCTTCTTTGGTGTCATAGGATTCAAGTTCCGGCTGCATCGTCCTCTGGAAACTACAACGTGAGTAGCATCGTTAGCTGTGTTTTATAAAACCTCCAGTTTTCACTGCAGACAGTCGGGTTGATTTAGCGGCAGCTGCCGGCTCACACAGCGGAGTCTGTTTCCTCTCTTTAGCAGCAGCGGTGTGTTCTAACGCTGTCAGCGGCGGGTGGGAAAGCTAGCTAGCACGCTAACCACTGCACTGAACGATGCTAATGAGCTAGCTTAGCTAATCATACTGGCTTCTATGAGAGGCATGGTTCATTCAAAGTGTTAGCCTCACTTTATTCAGGAAGCAGCTAGCGATCACTGTTATCTTATACTTCAGTCAGTTAACGTTATTATTACTATAAGTGGGCCGGTATGTCTCACCTGCTGCTGCTTTATCTTCATTTGAATGAGCTGTGAAAGGTTAAAGGGACACTCCACCAATTCTACACGTTCGCTAATTATTAAGGGGCTGTGTTTCTCAGCCTGTGCTCTGTGGTTCAGGTGTTAAATGTCTTCTTTTGCTCGAAATGAAGCTTTACAAACTAAAGAAAATAAGCCTGATGGTGCCATCAGGGAATGCTGCCATCTTCCTATAACCTAATTTCCATAATTAACAGAGTCTGACTTGGAAGTGACATTAATGTCAACATCAGATTTATCTGATGACTCACATATGTCTGACTTAATGCTTTACCTCCCTCTGCAGTAATTGATTCAATCCTGGCATTGGCATATTCAGACGTTCTCTTCCATCAAAGCGAAGACTGAACTCTTAAAATACTGCAATCAGCAAATCACAAACGCTGCGTTTTATATGTTGTGCACTGTGTCAAATTCAAGTTTTAAAGTTTAAGTAGTTTTGAATGTGGCCCACAGTAAATATTGTCCAAATGCTTTACTTTAAAAATATTATATCGCAAATCAAATCAAATCAAAGTGTTTGCCAGAAAAATCACAATTAGATATTTTCCCCATTTTTGTTGAGACATAACGAAAATATTCTCTTCTTACCTCAAGATGGCTCAAATGAAAATGTTTGCTGTTGATTCCTTTAGAACGTGCAGATCTTTGAAGCCCCTTTCTTTCTCTCTGCTCGCTGCAGCTGGAGCACACCAGCTCACCCACAACTCTGCTCAGAAGCTGTAAAACTTGTCCTTTTACACAATGACAAGTTGAAATTTTGGAATAATTCTGCTGTGCATGCTGAATGTGTGTTTTTGAGACTGTCATCAGTACGCTGCAGTTTCAAGGTGGAAATGCAGCCGTGGCTTCTTTTTTTTTAGCTCGTGGTGTGTCTTCAGTCACTTAAAAAGCTTCATACAGACACGTAAACAAGCTAAACAGACTTAATTTTCACTGGAGGGTTTTTAAAAAATAATACTAAAGTGCCTGAAACAGTGAGTCATAAAAGCAATTAAGCTAAAAGCTAACAATATAATGTGACTTCATCCGTGCAGTGTGTTTTAACGCTCACTGTACAACCTTCTTTATTGACTTCCTACCATCCATCCTTTGTGGTGTGAACACTGAATTAGAGATGAGAAGCTTTAGTGGAAGCAGAGCTGCGATAAATAGTTGATTGATTTAGTAACAGGCATTTTAAATTAGCTGGGGTTATAATAAATGCTGTATTGTGGGACTTCTGTTCAGGCTACACACTTGTCCCTACTCAAGTAAACACAAAATAACATAAAGATGACTGAACTTCAGCTATTTTGAAAATTATATCATCTTTTCAGTTATTTCTGGTTTCTTCCTTCTGAAATATGAGGATTAGATGTTTTTGTTTTCCACCCTTGAACTGAATGTCTGCATTTGGAGCTGCTGGTTTGAAGATATTCTCCTGATCTGTAGCAAATTTTTCATTTTATTGACAAGAAATTGAAAAATAATGTTCTGATAATGAAAATATTAATTTATTGCAGCCCTAAACGGCAGGTTTGCACGATGTGTTGGGATTGTGGAGTTAATCAGGCAAAGAAATACTGATGAAAGACGAGACTGAACTGGGCAAGAAAAGTCAGATTATCTTGACATCTGTTTCTTCAGGTCTTTGTTTTAAGTCTTTCTCTTGCAGCTTCTCCAGCGTTTTAACTTCACATGTCACATTTTTGTGTTGTGTTCATTGTTCTAACCTACAGCTGCCATTTCTTGGTTTAAACTCAATCAGTCACCCGTCCTGTGTCTCACTTTATGCCTTTGTTTCTGTCCTGACCTCCTCAGCATGGGCAGTGTTTTGGCTGCCAGCTCCCCCAACCCACCACCACCAGCCCCCGGCACTGCCGCTGCCCCCGGGTTGACGGTGCCGCCGGGCTTTGGGATGCCTCCAGTTTCCCCAGTCATACCCCAGACTGGGGCGACTTCTGGACAGCAGCAGGAGGCAGAAAACCCTCTGCCCAACCCGGGCACGTTTGATGAGTGTCATCGCAAATGCAAAGGTATTTTAACAATGTGGACTGAAACATGTAATAAAAATATAATAATGGGAGTAAATCCTTTAAAAATTAATTTGTGCCTTCAACCGGACCTCCTCAGAATCAGCTGTTGTTTTATGTACAACAATTTTAGTATACTTTATGAAGTTCTACCTTCATACTATGAATATTTCCAGGCTTCCAGGCCTTTGAAGGTCCAAATTTCTAACTTTGTAGTAGACATTTTCCATCATTTCTGAGCCTCAGAACTTCATCAGTGCAGCAGATAGACACGTGACATTTAGGAGGAAGAACACATCTGGGTTCTGGTAGAACCTGACACCAAATATTTGTTATTAGTATTTATTTACACAATTTAAACACTAAATCTTTAAATTCTGTTCATGTCCTCTGTCAGCAGCTGGTAGCATCAGTATTATGGGATGTGTCATAGTGGTACCAGGTTAATGTCTATGACATAGAGTCATAGAAACAATCATTGGTACACTGGATGTGGTTCTGGTTCTGATCATTCACCAGAGGAAACTTTACAAAGTGCATTCTGGGTAAACTTTCCAGGCTCATATCAGCATGTGTGATGGTGGTTGGTCAGAACCAGTTCTAGACAATGGAAGGACCGTTGGACCTCCACACGAGATGATTGTCTTTTAGTCTCCTTTTATTGGAACTCAAATGTGTTTTTGATTCCTGAAAATGTCATGTGTCTGTCTTCTGTACTGATGAAGTTCTGATGCTTCGAAATTAAAAAAAAAACAAAAAAACAACTGAAATTTGGACCCACCTCTATGTGCATATATACACACATGTGGACAAAATAGTTGGTGGTCCTCGGTTAATGAAAGAAAAACCCACAACGGTCAGAAATAAATTGAATCTGACCAGGGGTTCCATCATTTTTGTCCAGGCCTGTTTCATGAGTTTATTTTTTAAAATAATTCTGTTGAACCACAGTTCAAAAGCAACGTCTGATTTTCATTGGTTAATTTTCATAGAATTTTTATTTATTATTACTTTTGTCAGATTCAAGTTATTTCTGACCGTTGTGGGTTTTTCTTTCATTAACCGAGCGGTACCAACTATTCTGTCCACGTGTGTAATAAAGCTATTGTACAAAAAAATCAGCTGATTCTGAGGGGTCAGGTGGGAGCTTCATTCAGCTTTGTGAAGCATCAGAAGTGAACGAATCTGATCTGCGTCTGTTTTTCCTCCTCAGAGGTGTTTCCTATGCAGATGGAAGGCGTCAGGCTAGTTGTGAACAAAGGCCTTAGCAACCACTTCCAGGTCAGTTCAACCACATCGACGTTTACAGCAGCACAACTCTGAGCTGCTTGATGTCAGTTTTTTACACAACTCTTTAAATTACTGCCAAACGACATCTTTAAAACTCAAATTTAGATAAATTAGATGGACACCTTCTGGACTGAATCAGGTTTTAATCAGTATTTCAGTCATGCAGATGAGTTTATGTTCTGTGTTTCATCTCTTTCCAGGTGAATCACAATGTGCTGCTGAGCACCACCGGAGACTCCAGCTACAGGTTCGGTGCTACGTATGTTGGCTCGAAGCAGACTGGTCCAGCAGAGGTATGCAGCAGTAAACTCCCACCCATGAGATGTTTCCTTTGTTTATCGTCTGAGCTGTAATACTAATGTCCTGCTCTTCAGTTCTTCCCAGTCATGGTGGGCGACATGGACAACAGCGGCAGCCTTAACGCTCAGATCATCCACCAGATCAGCAGCAGAATACGATCCAAAGTGGCCTTCCAGGTAAACCTGCTCATCCCACGTCGGGCTTTAATTAGGGATGTCCTGAGCCGACCTAAACCAGAGCAGGTTCAACCAAGGCATCTTTTAACTGATTGGTATCAACACAAACCGAAGCCTGGTTCTGTGTTTATGCGTGTTGTGACGTTGCTGTCAGGATTTAAAGCGAGATGCTAGCGTGTATGTATTTATTTTCCTGTTATTTCTGACCATTGGATAAACAAAAAGGTCTATAATGCTCGAGTAGATGAAGCTACAGCTAACAAAGCTGGTTTAAAGTTTTTAAGTTGTCAATTTTTATCGTTTTGTCAGCTGTGGTAGGAACCTAAAATCTCTTTAGGAAGCACAAAAAAACCTTATCGTGTATTTCTTTTCTACTGTTCCTGATTTATTTCAACATCTGTCATGTCCTCAGACACAACAACACAAGTTTGTAAACTGGCAAGGCGACGCAGAGTTCAGGGGAGAAGATTTTACTGCGACCGTAACACTCGGAAACCCAGACGTCCTCGTCAGCTCTGGTAGGTCATCGGACGGTGAAGCTGTGGCGGATCCAGTTTACCTGCACGTTAGCATCCAAGGGCTAAAGCTAGCTTCTGTTCTAGTGCAGTTGTTTTCATATTTCTGACAACAGTGCATGAAAAACTTGTTGTCGTCCACCTGTCAGGTATCATTGTCACACACTACCTCCAGTCCATAACGCCGGCTCTGGCTCTGGGAGGGGAGCTGGTTTACCACCGCCGGCCAGGAGAGGAGGGCTCCGTGATGTCTTTGGTGGGCAGATATACAGGTGAGACGCAGTTAGAAAGTAGTCTGGACTAAAGCACATTTATGTTGTTACTCCTCCTAACAGCCTGACTGTCCTCCGCAGGCAGCAACTACATCGCCACGTTGACACTCGGCTCAGCGGGAGCTCATGCGTCGTACTACCACAAAGCCAACGATCAGGTATTTGTTTGGACATTTGCTATTTATCAGACTCGGGTCAAATAGGATCAGCTGCTGAAGCAGAAGTATGTTTGTGTCATTTCACATGGCAGAGTTGGTAAAATGTCAACCAAAGACTGTTCATTTAGTAGAAAATCTAGAAACATCCATAAATGTACACTTACTAGAACCTTGTAGGGCCCCACACAACTCCTGTCTGAGAATTCTTTCCCCATTTTCAAGGTCCAATATTTACAATTTTGGCCTCTGTTGGAGCCAATAAAACATTTGAACCATCTGTAAACTATTTTGTCTGTGTTCTCACCAAATGTCCTGACTTTGAGAGGGATGTTTCTGCAGATATTTAAACCTGAAATTCTTTTCTTAGGTATTATGGGTTTTTTTTAGGAGTGAAAATACAAAAATCTTAAGGTCTAAAAACATACGATTCTCAGAACTCCACCACTTTATTTTGCATAGATTAGAGACCCAAAAACTATTTACAAATCTCCTTACATCGCAGCAAGACACCACAAATGCACTGTCCCCAATTTCAAGCATGGTGGTGGCAGCATCATTATGTGGTGATGCGTTTTTTTTTCCATTTTCAAAGACCACTCAATACAAATTTGGCTTCTGCTGGACCTACTTACTCATTTGGAGATTCTGGAAACAGTTTTGTCTGTGTCCTCACCAACTTTCACGGCTGTGTAGAGCAGTGACGTGCAGTCAAGGGAGGCAGGTGAGATAAGAGAGCTTTTTATGTGTAAAACAAACAAAAACAAAAACCCAGATCTGAAAACATGAGTTTCTCCAAATTCAGCTAAAATATGTTTTTTTAAATGTATTTTTGGTCCCAAAAAGTGAACAAAAATCTGACACAGTGCAGCTGTCTGAATTGACACTGACTGACCCTTGTGTTGGTTAACTTTGCTTTAAAAGTTTACAAATCTGGGGCGCCGCTATAGCTCACCGGGTTGAGCTGGCGTCCTATGTGTAGGGCTACAGTCCCCATGTGGAGGTCATGAGTTCGAATCCCGCTCATGACCCTTTCCCACATGTCCTCCCCCCATTCTTCTCCCTTATGAACAAAGGCCAAAAAAATAACTTTGAAAAAAAAAAAGGTTTACAAATCTGGCGCTCAGATGTTTGTTGGAACAGCAAATCCCTGCAGGTACACTTGCAGGAGAAGAGGTTCCACTGTGACTTCCTGTTCTGCCTCCGTCAGGTTCTACCTGTCTAACTCTTCTCGTCAACAGCTGCAGGTCGGAGTCGAGTTCGAGGCGAGCGGCCGGATGCAGGACACCAGCGTATCGTTTGGCTACCAGCTAGATGTGCCTAAAGCTAATTTACAGTTTAAAGGTATGATGTGTAGCACTGTTCTCGTTTATCCCAGCTAGGTTTAATATTTGTGGCTGGCTGGAGGTCATTATGCTTCAATGGAGACTTTGTCATGGTGCCCTTCTGTTAGCTAAACTCCCACATCTAACTGCAGTAACAACCAGTAAGAGGCTCCCCCTGGTGGAGCACCCAGCTACTACAGCTAACCTACAATACCTGAAGTGTCTATCATCTAGAACAGGGGTGTCCAATCCTGGCTTTGAGGGCCACAATCCTGCATGTTTTAGATGTTTCCCTCTTCCAACACACCTGATTAATATGATCAGCTCATCGTCAAGCTCTGCAGATGCCTGGTAACCATCCTGATCATTTGAATCAGGTGTGTTGGAAGAAGGAAGCATCTAAAACATGCAGGATTGTGGCCCTCGAGGACCAGGATTGCCCACCCCGATCTAGAAGAATTACATTGGGTATTGGCAGATGCTAACTGCTACATGACTGGGATGTGATCAGGAGCTTTGACTTGTTCTTTCAGTAAACCCCTCTACCTCTGTGGTTCTTTGTCCAGGTTCAGTAGACAGTAACTGGATAGTCGGCGCGACGTTAGAAAAGAAGCTGCTGCCGTTGCCGCTCTCCCTGGTACTCTGCTCCTTCCTCAACCACCGCAAGAACAAGTTCCAGTGCGGCTTTGGCGTCACCATCGGTTAGAATTCGGCCGGACGACGGGGTAGTCGGACCCCACGGACGGACGGACGGACGGACGGACGGACTCGCTTCGGACGAACAGACTATGCCGTGTACACTGCTGTGCCCCATCATCTCAGTCTGTCGCCATGTTGTCGGTTTCCCCAGATCCTGTTTCATCTCATGTGGTGAATAGAAGCTAATAATGTAAATCTACTCTCGATCTTTAATCCTAAAAGATGAATCGCCTGAAGGATCAGTAGCGTAATGACGAATGTGATCGGTCAGGAATTTGTTGACTGTGGACTCGGACACACAAACCCATAGACGACAGCACGACGGAGTGACGGAGCTCTTTGTCTCTGAGTTCGGTGCCTGTCACGTTTGGTTTCCAGGTTTGAGTTTTATTCCAGTCTTTCTTTTTGTTTTGTTTTGTTTTTTTTACTGTAAAGTCTGTCTTGGTGTGCAGTGAATGAAATCGTTGTCATTTGCTTGTTAAACGGTTTATTGGTTACAGGAGAGTTTATCAGCTGTTAGGAAGGAGCGTACTGTACTGTACTGTATGTCATGTTCACAATCCATCACTTGTTTTGTTGCCTTTTTTTTAACGTTACATGCATATGGAACAGTATATATGACCTGTATATACCTCTTGGAAACTGATAAATTCAATTTCTTACAAAAAACGGCACGACTTTGTTGTTTTTTATTTTTATTTTATTACCGTTGATCCCAGACACCATCTCCCATGCTCATTAAAGCACTTTTCAGACATAAATGTACAACATTGCTGCTTCGTTGATTTGATAACGTTACAGCATTCTGTCATCTAGATATTGGTTACTTTGATCTTGATGTTTTAACACACTAATATCCAGATTTTAATGTTTTAGTGTGCTAATATCCATATTTCTGATGTTTTGCTGCACTGATATTAAGTTTTTTGATGTTTGCTGCATTTATATATAGATTTTTTTTGTTTTGGTGCAATAATATCCAATTCGTGATGATTTGGGGCATTCATATCCAGTTTTTTTGATGTTTTGGTGCTATAATATCAAAGTTTTTGATGTTTTGCTGCATTTAAATACAGATTTTTTATGATTTG